GCTGCTTCCCGCAGCTCCCAGCCACTGGGAGCTGAGGGACTCCATGCACTCAAACGCTCCAGGTAAACAAACCTCCCGGGATGCCAGCTGGGCCAGGAGCCACATTTATTGACTCCTGTTGTACATCACCGATGATAGAATGTCAGTTCTGGACTTCTTTTTAAAAAATGTGTTAAGTTTTTATTTTTATTTAAATTGTATCTGCATTAAATTTGTCTAATTTATTTCACAAAATGCTAGACCTTACAAGTCAGTCAGAAAAATACAGTGAATGATAGTACTACGGCAATGGTATCAGTCTACTACTGTGCAATTTGATCTCTTCATGCATGTTGACCACTGGACCTCCTAAGTCTCTTGTCAATCTGAAAATATAATGGGCAGAATCTATGAAATCTGTAATAAAATTTAAACAGCTAGTTATCTCCACAGACATGCCAAACTACGGGGTTGCTTTGAAATAAACACAGAACAATTATAATTTGACAGTGATAAAGCAGATTACATTGCTCTATAAAGTCCTCTAAAATCTATAACTAAACTATTTTCTAAGATTTTGATACTAGTTAAAATGAACAATGGTGAAATCAAAAGAAAACTGTCTGCTTCTGATAGTGTTCAAAATTAAAGTTGTTAGGGCATACAGAAGCAAACAGTTGCGCTGCTGCTCATGAATTCTGTATCAATGAGACGCATATAAGAGAATGATGAAAAAATAAAATACTGAAAGACATGCCTAGAAGCAAGAAAAAAATGTCTGAGGTGTGCTTCATGTCCTGGACTGGAGAAAGATCTCATTGATTGGGTTATTGAATGTTGACAAAATGGGTACCTTGTTACTAGAACCTAAATTTGTCTGTGTTCTCTGCAAATGCTTAAAAGAGAACAAATACAAGATAGCAATCCAATATTTGTCAATGAGTGGATTGGTGTACTTGCTTCATAAACCATCAAGGTCTCTGTCTTCCTCCGTGAACAAAGATGGCACAAAAGCTGCCAAGAGACCTGGGAGAATAAAATTAGTCTTTCTAAAGATTCATAATAAAACATCAAAAGGAATATGCGTTTGAGCTGTCACAAATAGGAAATATGAATGAAACAATGACATTTGATCTCCCAAGCAACATAACGGTAACTGGTGTTGCTTAGAAGACAGTTGTAATTAAAACCACTGACCATAAAAATCCAATTTTCAGTTGTTTTATCATATATGGTCAGTGGATCAAAGCTTCCTCCTGTTGTTTTTAGAAGAAAAACGTTGCCTAAAAACATGAATTTTCCTGTGGGTGTGCACATGAAAGTGGGACTATTGAAAAGCTGGAAGTGTGGAATAAGAGACCGGGAGCACTTCTCAAGAAACCAGCTATGTTTGAAACATGATCAGGACACTGTGTGTGTGTGTGTGTGTGTGTGTGTGTATAATATAGTATTATGAGCGAAAGCTCCCCTCTTTCTCTCTCTGTGTATATAAACAAATTTTTTCTGAGGGATAACAGAGTGACATCATCTGTATTCTCATGCTGCCGCCCACCTCCTGCTGCCGCCCACCTCCATCTCTGTCCTCAACCGCTTGCTGGGGCCAGTGTTGGTGCCATCCCTTTCAGACATGGGCTGCTCTGACTCCTGCTTCATGCCCCAGTGGGCTGTGCTGCCAGAGAGGAGCTGCTGGGACTGGGTCCCCTCCACCATCCAAGCCTGACCTGCGCGCCCGTCACCTGTCCCCTCTCCCCAACACACACACACACTCACCGGTGCAGCTCTCTGGGCCACGCTGGCTCCCCTTCCTCCTGGCCAGACACCTACCTCCAGCCTGCTTCTGCACCCTACCCTGCTCTTGCACCCTCCAACCTGGCCAAACACCCTGACCCCAGCTTGCTCTTGCCCTCTCCCCCCTGGACACATACCTATCCCCAGAGAGAGGGGGGTTGGTAAGCAGGGGGTGCAGTCCTCTAGCGATACTATTATATATATTTTTTTGTTGATCTCTAAGGTACCACAGGACTACTAGTTTTTAAAGTTAGACTAACAGGGCTACCCTTCTGAGATCTTTAAGACCAGGTGAAATGTGGCCAAACAAGAAAAAGAAAACTACTTTGGCTGTAATACTTGAAGGCGTAACTTCTGTTCTATAACTGCTTAGTGTCTGTTTAAACAAACACTTTAAAAGCTTTAGAGGGGTAGCTGAGTTAGGTTTTTTTTTTAAAGTTTTTCTTGTTGTAGACTAATAGTCTAGTAGTAGCACCTTAAAGACTAACAAAACATGTAAATGGTATCATGAGCTTTTGTGGGCACAACCCACTTCAGGTGACCAGAGTGTTGGAAGTCCAGATCCAAGAAACCCTTTAAAGATAGTCTACACAAAATGTGGTCTGACTGGATGTGCTCAGGCATGACAAAGTTGACAAAAGGCGAGAATCTTACGAAGCCCGAAATCAATTTGGTCATCCTGGTGATTCAAGGATGTGTAGGAATCCATTCTCTTGGAAATAATAGAAAAATCATTTAGGAAATGTCAGCAATGCGCTGGATGGGTCACAAGACACCATATTTGCTGATGACATGATGGAAGCTGAGCATAAGGAATCTGAGGGCGACATTGCTGACCTCTACTATGATGATCAGGGCTTGCCGAACCGCAGCGAGCCCCGCTTGCCAGCTGTGCTGTCCGGCGATCCGCGCATGAGCAGATCGTTTTGCACATGTGCAGATCACCCGAACCTGCAATCTACTCGTCACGGGCGAGTAGATTGTATTATTTGTAAAGCCCTGATGATGATGCAGAAGCAGCTATAGTTTAATGAACTGTTTGGTGAATTGGAGACTGATTTGGACTTTGAAGGATTTTAAGACTTAAAAGTGCATTAGCATGATATGAGACTTTAAAACATGGATTGTAATTTTGAAGATATATGAACACATTCAGTTTTTATAATAGATTTGTTAGATTACATCAGAATAAATCTTTTTAAACTTCTGCATGTTTCTTATGACTACAACACCTAAAATATAGCAGGGTTAGCAAACTTCAGTTCCCAGCCCAGCAGCATAAGCAGCATCAGGGTGTTTTGTGTACCTGGAGTGTCTGCAGCCACATAACCCTTCAACTCCCAGTGGACCTTTTCAGGGAAGTGGCAGCCAGCATGTCCCTTGGCTGTGCTGTTTCCTGCAACTCCCATTGGTTGGGAATGGCAAATCATAGCCACTGGAAGCGGAGGGGTTTCATGCCTATGAACACTCCAGGTACACAAAATGTCCCTGTGCGCCAGTGTCTTATCTGATGGCCGGAACTGAAGTTTGCCAATCCCTGATCTACAACAATAATGTAGACCCATTTATAAGCCAACCTTGCTGTTTGACGTGTCTCTTTTTTACTAAAAAAAAATAAATTGGATTACGAATGAGTATATATGGTAATTGCCATAGGGATATTACATAGGGGTGTAAAGCGATTAGTTGAGTAGTCGACTACCTGATATACCTAGGGTTATCACTACTTGCTTTCCTCCACACAGAGGTAGCAAGGAGGAGGGGAGCAGGAGCCAATGCTGGGGAGAGCTGGCTCAAAAGCTGGTTTCCCCCCAGCACTGTCTCTACAGGTGAGGGGCTGCAAGGGAGGAAGAGGTGCAGCAGGGGACCTACACTGCTGCAGCTCTGCTTTTTGTGGCTCTTGTTACATTTAAAAAGCAGAGCCACAGTGGTCATGGAGCTGGCACGAGCTGCTCGGTCCCTGCTCGCCCCGCCCTGGGATCAAACTCCCTTATCGACTAATCGAGTAGTCGATGGACTTAACCACTACTTAACATCCCAAATATTACATGAGCACAAATACAGAAAAGAGCCATGATTTTTAAAAAAAAAGTGTGTTTTTTGACTTACTGGGACAGAAGAGACAATGCTTTCCTCCATTTTTCCTTCCTCCCCGAACACCACCAAACTTCCTACCCTGATTTTAAATGTTGCTGGTGGTGTAAAATAAACTGCTCTAAATTGCAAACTTGAATTTAAAGATGCATTTGTTAACTTTTCTTCATAAAAGTTTTGTGCGGTCATGCTTGGTAATCTTGCTACATTTGATAACTAGTTTATAAAGAGTTAACAGTATTGAACAGATGTTATAAGCATGTTACAAACATGAGTAGAATGTGTTATGGATGGTTATAACAGTTCATTAATTGAAACATCTAGTAACTTAACTCTTTATACCTTGTATTAAAGATACATTTAAAAAATATAGTGTGATAATCTTTCTGACTTAGTAGTAATGTCTTTTAATGTTATGTTTATGTTTGTGTTCATAAATCAGTTGGTTTTTTGGGTGAAGTTAACTTTATTTTTTTTTTTTAATAAGCCTGAATGGTACCTAACTCAGGTACTCATGTGGACTGGAAATCACGCTAAATTTCTTGACGATAAAATCCAGCCAATATTGGACAAGGCAGGCTCTTCAGTCAATGCAAGGGTAAGCAAATATGTTATGTATAATTTATATACATCCAAATTCCAGAGGTGGTTCAAGTAATTACAACTTCGTTAACTTTATTGAATCTATGATAGGGCTGAAGTTAGTCCAAGAAAGAGTTTTAAAACTGCATAAATATTAGCAATGCCAACTTGCAGTTTCTATCTACTTTCATGACTTCTTTTTCCTTCCTTGAAGCTTGAATTTTCTCGTGCTCTGGTAATGCTGATTTTGGAGAAGTTGGCTGCTGATATCCCTTGCCTGTTGTATGACGATAATCTCTTTTGTCATCTTGTGGATGAGGTACTTCTATTTGAGAGAGATCTATATACTGTTCATGGATATCTCAGCACCTTTCCCAGTTGTATGCATATTCTGTCTGAAGAAACCTGTTTTCAAAGATGGCTAACTGTGGAAAGAAAATGTAAGATTTAATATGCTTGTTTTTTTTTTATTTTTTTTTTTTTAAGTATGAAGACTTAATCATATAATACTTTTAAAATAGTTCTAGTAAGTTAGGATAAGTCACATGACTAAGTGTTAGATTAGGCCCACAATTTTTATGCAAGACTGCTCTATTTGTTTTTTAAGCAACACTTGTTAATGCTACCATAATTGGTATGCTGTTGACTCTGGACTCTGTGGTTTTGTAGTTTTGTCTACGTATGTGCATAGGTGAAGGAATTTAAATTGATGGGATAAGTTAGAAAAGATAACTTCCTTTTCTTTTACTGTAGTTTATTAATTCTTATGGAGATGAGTAACAGTTAAAATGGAAACAGAAGTATAAGGGAGCATGTAAAGGACACTAAATGGAAGATGACACCCTGACATCTATTAGAAGGGAAGAGAAAGTGGAGTGTGTGAAAGGAGCTATGAGAAAAGCAAGAGAGATGCAGGCTTGAATATAGAAAAGGAGTTATTTTCCTGGGAAAATCACTGCAATACACAAGTCTGAGTGAGACTCTTATACAGAAAATAGGGAGAGAGATGCTGTTATCTGCTTGGCAGGCAGGGATCTGCCTAAACTAGAATGGAAGATACCGGAGGTTGTTTGATTGCTGCCTCTTTTGAAGTAGTATCTATTTCTGATTGTGAATTGCAAGCAGGAAATCTCTTTGGAGTTCAGTGTTTTAGGTTGTTCTAGCATGATACTATCAGGGAGGACCACCTCCCTTATAACTTTTAGTCCAATGATAAGAGTATTTGCTTGGGATGTGGGAGACTCCTTATTCAAGTCCTCCTTTTTGGCTATGGAATATTCTTGGGGGTGGGAGAGAGGGCAGTCTGTCAATTTCCAGTCAAAGCTGTTGTACTGTGGCTAAATATTTAAAGAGTCACAAAAAGGAGTAGATCCTGGATCTCCCGCATCCTGGGTGGATGTGCTAAACACCAAGCTGTAAGTCATAGAATCCTAGGGCTGGAAGACACCTCAGGAGGTCATTGAGTCCAACCCCAGCTAAACCATCCCAGCAAGGGCTTTGTCAAGCCAGGACTTGAAATCTCCATCTCGAGGTTTTTACCACCTCTCTAGATAAAACCATTGCAGTGCTTCACCACTTTTCTAGTGAAATAGTTTTGCCTAATATCCAATCTAGACCTTCCCCACTGTAATATTAGACCATTGCTCCTTGTTCTGCCATCCTTCACTACCGAGAACAGCTTCTCTCCATCCTTTTTGGAACCTCTCTTCAGGAAGTTGAAGGCTGCTATTAAATCCTCCCCCGCCGCCTTCTCTTCTGCAGACTAAATAAGCCCAAATCCCTCAATGTCTTCTCATAGGTCATGTGCTCCAGCCCTCTAATCATTTTGGTTGCCCTCCGCTGGACCCTCTCCAGTGCTTCCACATCCTTTATGTAGTGGTGCCCCCAGAACTGAATACAATACTCCAGATGTGGCCTCACCAGTGCTGAATAAAGGGGAATTATCACTTCTCTAGATCTACTGGAAATGCTCCTCCTAATGCACCCTAATATGCCATTAGTCTTCTTGGCTAAAAGGGCACTTTGTGACTCATGTCCAGCTTCTCATCCACTGTAATCCCCAGGTCCTTTTCTGCTGAACTGCTACTTAGCCAGTTGGTCCCCAGCCTGTAACAGTGCTTAGGATTTTTCTGTCCCAGGTGCAGGACTCTGCACTTGTCCTTGTTAAACCTCATCAGATTTCTTTTGGTCCAATCCTGCAGTTTTTCTAGGTCACTCTGGACCCTATCCCTACCCTCCAACATATATCCCTCTTCCCCCTAGCTTAGTGTCATACGCAAACTTGCTGAGGGTGCAATCCATCCCCTCATCCTAGTCATTAATAAAGATGTTGAACAAAACAGACACTAGAACCGATCCTTGGGGCACTCCACTTGAAACCAACTGCCAACCAGACATCGAGCCATTGGTTACTACCCGTTGGGCCTGACAATCTAGCCAGTTTTCTATCCACTTTACGGTCCTTTTAACCAATCCATGGTTCCTTAATTTGCTGGCAAGAATATTGTGGGAGACAATAGCTTTGTTAAAGTCAAGGTATATCCTGTCCACTTACTTCCCCATGTCCACAGAGCCAGTTACTTTATCATAGAAGCAAATCAGGTTGGTCAGGCAGGACTTGCCCTTGGTGAATCCATATTGACTATTTCTGATCACTTTCCTCTCTTCTAAATGCTTCAAAATGGATTCCTTGAGGATCCCCTCTATGATTTTTCTGGGAACCGAGGTATGGCTGGCTGATCTGTAGTTCCCTGGATTGTCCTTTTTCCCTCTTTTAAAAATGGGCACTCATGCTTATGCAGATGTGGATGCATGCACCCTCCCCCTGCTCCAATGACTCTTTAAATATGCCATCATGCAACAACTTCAATAGGTGCGAGATTAAAGGATTCCCTACATCAAAATATCCTATGATCCAATGGTAAGAACCCTCAAGTGAGAAATAGCAGATCCACTTCAAGTCTGTTCTTCTCTGCAGGTGGAGTGGGGACTTGAACTAGTGGTGTCTGCAGGTGGAGTGGAGTACCTGAACCAGTGGACTAAAAATTATTTTTGGAAGCTTGCCTTCCTGTCTCTTCACCCCACTGCAAAGTTCTTTTGTGTAAATTTCTGAGGTGCCAATCCAAAAAGTATACCCAAATGCTACAGATCAGATTGGGCTCCTCAGCCAAGACAGACAGATTTCCCCTGAAGAAGTGGGTTGTGCCCATGGAAGCTCATGATACCATCTACATATTTTGTTAGTCTTTAAGGTGCTACTGGATTAGACGACTCGTTTTTTGAAAGATTTTCTGGATTTTCCATGGTGTGACTAGCTTTAAGTCTAATGTGGGAGATGAGCACTTGGATGTCCACAGGGAGGCAGCACACAGACATGCTCAGAAGCAGAACTTTTCCTGGAAAAAGCTTAGGTATTCAGAGAGTTTAGGTGCCTTCACGGTATCAGTTTATTATTAAATTTTGTATTTTATGATTAATTTTTTTATTTAAAAATTATACAAACTATGTATTTGTCAGAAGAAATTTTAAATATGTAAACTTCAAAGCAATTTCAAGTAAGAAATATATTACTATTTAAATTATGAAACATTTTTGTGTGCCTGTCAGTTGCTCTTCAAAAGATGGACTCTATACTTTCATCTGAAGCTGCCTGGGTATCACAATATAAAGATATCACTGATGTAGATGAAATGAAAGTCCCAGATTGTGCTGAAACTTTTACGACTCTGTTACAGGTTATTACAGGTAATTATAAAACTTGAGACACTTGACTTCCTCAGATGAATTCTCCTGAATAAGAACTCTAACTTGTATAAAAACAAGAAGCCTTGTGGCATCGTAGAGACTAGGGATGTAAGCGACTAGTTGACTATTTGATAAACAAATGCTATCAGAGAGAGGCAGCAAGGTGGGGAGAGTGGGATCTGGTGCTGGGGGGAACTGGCTTAAAAGCTGGTTCCCCAAGCACCGTCTTCGTGGGGAAAAGGGGCAGCAGTGTAGCGGAACTGGCGGTACTTCTGCCTTTGAAATGTAGCAAGGGCTCTTGCTACATTTCAAAAGCAGAAGCACTGCGGGGAACCTGGTGTGAGCTGGGGACTCTCAGTCCTCTGCTGGCCCTGTGCTCCCTGCTTTTGAAATGTACAAGAGTTCCAGGAGGACATTTCAAAACCAAAGCACTGGGCCAGCAGGGAGACTGTTTGAGTCCCCAGCAGGCCGTGCTCCCCGTGGAGCTTTTGCCTTTGAAATGTAGCAAGAAGCATCAGGGCTCTTGCTACATTTCAAAGGCGGAGACACCCTTATCGAGTAATCGAATAATCCATGCAGATTACATCAACTGTTTGATTAGTTGATTAATCTAAATTTAGCATCCTTATTAGAGACTAATAAAAATAGATGGAATCATGAGCTTTTGTGGGTAAAACCCACTTCATCAGATCAATTGATGAAGTAGGTTTTACCCATGAAAACTCATGATTCTGTCTATTTTTGTTAGTCTTTAAGGGAATGTCTACACTAGGAAATTATGTTGAAATAATAACTCAATTCAACTTAACTCCTGATTTTACAAAATCGAAATAGCATGTCCTAACTACAGGGAAGCATCAAAATCAGTCTGAGGCAAGCTCCGTTAATGTGGACATGCTTCCTCAACTTAGAGCCCCAGGAACTGCTGGGGAGTAATTAGTTCAAATTACTCTGGGGTATAGTTATTTTGAAATAGCAGCACTGGAGCTTCCACACTGATGCTATTTCGAATTGATTTCAAAATTAGTGTTATTCCCCGAGGAAAGCAGGAGTACTGTTATTTTGAGTACTGTTATAACGGGATTGGTTGTGTGGATGCTCCACTTATAAATGTGAACTAAGGGGGATTATTTCAAAATAATACCCTAGGGTATGTCTACACTACCCTGCTAGTTCAAACTAGCGGGGTAATGTAGGCATACCGCAATTGCAAATGAAGCCCGGGATTTGAATTTCCCGGGCTTCATTTGCATAAGCGGGGCGCCGCCATTTTTAAATCCCCGCTCGTTCGAACCCCATGCCGCGCGGCTACACGCGGCACGAACTAGGTAGTTCGAACTAGGCTTCCTAGTTCGAACTACCGTTATTACTCCTCATTCCACAAGGAGTAACGGTAGTTCGAACTAGGAAGCCTAGTTTGGACTACCTAGTTTGTGCCGCGTATAGCCGCGCGGCACGGGGTTCGAACGAGCGGGGATTTAAAAATGGCGGCGCCCCGCTTATGCAAATGAAGCCCGGGAAATTCAAATCCCGGGCTTCATTTGCAATTGCGGTATGCCTACATTACCCCGCTAGTTCGAACTAGCGGGGTAGTGTAGACATACCCCTAGTGTAGATCAGCAGGTAGATGCCACAGAACTACTCATTTTTCTTAAAGTTGCATACTAACATGGCTATTCCTCTGATACTTTCTAATTTTTATAGTTCAATAAGAAAATCTACATTTAAATGCTGGTGGTTATGGAGCCATCAAAGGAGTAAGAAATAGAACTGTTGTATGATTTTACATTTTAACAACTAAATGGAATTTTTGTTCCCTTGTTCTATCGAACTTTAATAAATCTAGTAATAAAGATCAAACTTTTATATTTCTACTAATTTCTAGTGATACATCTGATTATTTCCACTAGAAACATTTAAATTTAAGAGAAGATAAATTGAATTCTTATGTTGTTTATGTGTAGCAATTAAATAAAATATCCTGTTATCTCTTTTGAAGATTTCAGCCCAGAGAATGGCTGAGTGATCAGAAATGAATTCCTGAAAACTTTAGGTAACTTACTCTCCCTGTAGAAAGGCTAAGTAAGAGCAGATGAACATCAAGGACATTTGATTATTAAATGTGTATCTGTCACTTCTTGTGGGAAGATTTGAGGACCACCTAATATACCAGATTTTTTTTCCTGAAAGCACACTTGAAAAAACAAAATTAAATACAAAATGCTATAGTGAAATCAACAAAACAACCATTTATTTAGGCCTCAGTTTTGCAGAAACTTCCATATACTGTACACTTAACTTTATACAATGTGAGTAGTTCCATTGACTTCAGTGGAACTATTGGGGTGTAAAATTAAGCATGATGCGTGTAAGTTTTTGTAGGTTTGTGACCACAATACTTACCTTGTTAAAAAGCTCTCTTAATTGCTCTGGAAAATGAAAATTTTTACATCCATCTCTCCAGACAGGTATAAGAACCTTCCTATGGCATCTAGAAAACTACAATTCTTAGAGTTACAAAAAGACCTAGTTGATGACTTCAGAATACGGTTAACTCAAGTTATGAAGGAAGAGACTAGAGCTTCGTTAGCCTTCCGTTATTGTGCCATTCTTAATGCGGTTAACTACATCGCAACAGTATTAGCTGACTGGGCTGACAATGTTGTGAGTAATTACTGTTTTACATAAAGATACAAACTAGTGGTATCACATGATGATGCCTAACTAAATCCACCTCATTCATCTCAGTATTTTAAGATGCAGAATTAATCATGAATCCTGAAAAAACAGAACCAGATGTAAATTCTAATACAGTGAAAGGTGATTAATATAAGAATAATTTATAACCTTAAATAATTCTTAAATCCTTTTGTTTTTGTGCACTCTACCCAAATATCTAAAGCAGATTAGTTTCCTGTAAGCTGGCATTGCACCATGAGCATTCTGCAGTATCTTGTTGCATGGAAAACCACCTATGGATCCTATTCTGTTAACCCTTATATGAGTAATCTGGTAGAAATCAATGAGACCGCTCATGTGTAAGATTTGCTGGAGTTGGGTGGGTGAGCTAGGGAAGGTTCCATATTCTTTGGATGCCCTTCTCAAGGAAACCAGGTGAATTTAGTAGGGGAAGGATTATTTTGTCCATTATATCTAGAGCTATACTTCACTCTTACAGCCAACAGTCCTCCTCTTCCTATGTGTGACCTAGCATCTGCAGAGTGCTCCATATTCTGTAAGAAGAAAGCACTATTGTTTCATACTAACTTTATCTTGTTTTCTTGCCTGTCTGCCCAGGAAGCAATACTCCCAGCCTTTAGTTTGCTGTGTATAGTATAATGTATCTAAAACGTATAATCAAGCTGCTGAATTTTCAGGTCAACCCATGCTTCTAAATACACAAGGATTCTAGTTTACAAGATTTTTTTTTTATGCTGAAGCAGGTTTGCTTGATTTTTTTTTTAAGTATCTTTTCCTAATGCCATAAGACATTACTTCTCAGCACATATCTATACACCTAGTTAGTGATAGGGAATTGCTGATGCTTCATGTGAAACTGAGAAGCCAGGCGTATCTGACAGATAGGTCTCTGTGGATTTGGAGCATCCATAAGGGAATGTTTTGTGTTAATTACTTATGTTTAGACCCTGATTCTATATTGCAGTCTACTAGTGGAGACTTGGGGAGATCACTATTAACCTCAGAGGTTTGGGTAATGAGTCCTAATTCAGAATCTAGCCTGTTTCTGTATATTTAAGCATGTAACTTTGTTAATGAATACCTATTAAAATAAATAACTAAAAAAACCTGGAAATGTTGAAATGCAGTGTTTTAATGTTAGATCTGATAGCAGCTATATATATCACCATACTATTTAATTTATATCTTTATAAAATTTAATTCAGAAACTTTACCTCAGTATTGTTTTTAGTTTAAGGGATCATTTCTTAAAATGTAAATTCTGTCCAGGTGTTAATTTCTGAAATTGGAACTTAGGAGCCCATATCATTTAGTCCAGAAGAAAATTTGACTTTTCAGTTGGTTCTTTTTTAGTATGTTGTAAGGTCAGATGGGATATAACAGCTTTCCATGTCCATCACTGGGATTAAATCACTATATTCTATACTCATTTTGAGACAATAGAAATAGTTACAAGATTTTTTTTATAACCTTTTTCTATTTCAAAACAAGTTGCTAGTTTATAAAAGCCTTAGGGCAGGGCTACTCAACTTTGGAAGCCTTGGGGCTGCAATGATACATACAGAACATGCTGAGGGCTGCAACTGAAGCATGGTTACATATAAATGCAAATATATATGCAAATAGCTTCTTTCATACTGACAGGCATAAATACAAAGCACTTCTCACAATGCCCTGGTGCTCTCAGCACTTCCTATCTGGGGGCTAGAAATGCCGACACCCTGTACCTGTTTGTACACCCAGCCAGCCCATCCTTTTGCATCTTTCAGTGCTCACCCCGCCTGGGAGATGCTTCACTGTTGTGGAGTGTGTTCCCAGTGGAGGGCATGGTCAAAGGATCCCACCTGTGTTGAGTCCCACGTAAACCCAAACTGCACTGCAGGCTGCAAACAAACAAACAGGCCGTGGGCCACATGCAGCCCATAGGCCACGTGTTGAGTATCCCTGCCTTAGGGAAACATGTTACCAGCTGAAGCTATGCATATTAAAGTACTAAATAAAAAAGCTAACCTGGTAAAACCCTTTTTGTTCTAGCATATATATCTAAATCTCTTTTTGTTTCTGTAGTTCTTCTTAGAGCTTCAGCAGGCTGCGCTGGAAGTTTGTGCAGACAGTAGTGCTCTCAGTAAGCTACAGCTAGGACAGCTAGCTTGTATGGAAAGCTCTGTCTTTGATGACATGATTAACCTCCTAGAACGTCTAAAACATGACATGTTAACCCGCCAAGTAGATCATGTCTTCAGGGAAGTCAAAGATGCTGCAAAGCTTTACAAAAAAGAAAGGTAAGTCTTTGTGTTAATGTCTTCTGATAATTTGTTATACACTTAAGACTTTTGATTAAAAAAACTGTATAATGTAAAAATCTAGGTCTCTGAATTAGATGAGATTTTGGAAAGTGTTCTCTGGTATTCCTAAATATAAATATATATTTAGGTAGATTGTGATTTTTCTAAGGCACTATCCTGCAAATAGTGGATGCACACTGCAGCAGGGACTCTTATCTGACACTTATTGTTTCTTTGAGACTTCTAAGGAGCAAGTTTGATAAACTTCAGGACTACCTCTATTTTCAAGAACCCTTAATATATTGATGCATACTTGCTCCTGGGTAAAATTGGTAGGCTACTTTCTAAAATAATGTCTTTTTTTGGGGGGGGGGGAGGGGGGCTTGTTCCCCCCTCAGGTGTCCTATCTTACATTCCTTTAACTAAAATGTAGGCTTGATATTATTAGATGATGATGCAAATTATCTTGGTGTGGAGTATTAATACATAATTCTGACCTTTTTTAGATATTTGAGACTGTGGAGAGCTAGCAGAAGCCCAGTAAAATTAAAAATGAGATTGAGATTGTGACCTTTTGAAAAAGATGAGCTTCATTGCTACTGCTTTCCTGTGAATAACCTTACTGTAATATGGCGGTGTATGTCTGTTCCTTCAGGTGGTTATCTTTGCCATCCCAGGCGGAGCAGGCAGTAATGTCCTTATCCAGTACAGCTTGCCCATTGTTGTTGACATTAAGAGATCGTTTGCTACAGTTAGAACAGCAGCTCTGCTACTCATTATTTAAAATCTCCTGGCAAATTCTTGCAGAGAAAGTGGATATGTTCATCTATCAAGAGGTAAGCATCTGCAGTTATGTGATCTGGGCTGTGACAATGAAAAGTGCAAATAACTTACCTAAATTAATTTAATGCATCTGTTCACATGCATATGTAGGTAATTCTGGCTAATCACTTTAATGAAGGAGGAGCAGCACAACTTCAGTTTGACATGACTAGGAATCTTTTCCCTTTATTTTCCCACTACTGCAAAAGACCAGAAAATTATTTCAAACAGTAAGTAAGCCAGTTTCTAAGGTATTAGTGTTTCAATAGCGAGTAACTAGCTGATCATACCAAGTTCTTATATTTGTGCATAAGTCAGCATCTTTCATGGTTGTAGCTTGAATTAATTGGGTCAGAAATCTGTTAAAATTGTGAGGTGGCAGAGGAGAGAATCTGTTCCACTACATCAGGTATGATTCTGCAGTCCATACTTAAGCAAAGCTCCCATTGACTCTGGCTTGTTCTTATAAGTTAGTAATGAACTAACTGTTGGTTACACACTGACTGGCACTTGCACATTTAGGGAAAATTGGATGGTAAAGCATGTCAAGAGCACAGGAGGCCATAGTGGGACAAACCACCAAGAAGCAAGGACTAAGGGTGCAATCCTGTGAGTCCTACTGAGGCTAATTGCCCTACAAAGTAAAATAGGATTTTATCCTGAATAAGGAATGCAGGAATGGTTCAGAAATGTTTACAGATGAAGGTTATGCTTTGTACTACAATAATACTTAAATGGAAGATGCTATGTTTATTGAGGCTTTTGTGAAGTACCTGTCAAACATTAAGCTTCATACTCCCTTTATTGATGTATTATCCCCATTTCTAGATGGGAAAATGTGGGCACAGAAAAGTACAGTTACAACTAGGAATGTGAATGGTTAACGGGTAAATATAATCTATAATGGGTGATACTTACTGGTTCTGGTAAACCAGCAGGGGCTGCTCCAGTGCATTATGTTTAATTGGTTAATCAATTAAATGGGATTTTTACATCCCTAATTACAACTGTGATACAACCAATCAGATATTTAAACAGGCCTAGCTATTATGCCTCAAGACTGTATGAGAGTAGTACAGGGTACCTCCTTGCTTCAGCAGTTGTATCTATATTTCATACTCCTGTTCTTATTTGAGCATACTGACTGAGAGGGTAGTTAATCTTGCTTTCCTGCTTAACTTTCTACTTTTTCAATTTTAATATTGGTATTGGCTTTTATTTCTTTACTCCATGGGAAACTAAAAATGAAAAAATAAATACAAGGACCTGGATAATTGGAAGCAGTTTGTCAGAAATGGTGGCTATACTGTCAGGTTTGACTCACTGAAAAATAATAAAGATATTAAGGTGGGTGCCTGCTATATAGAAAAGTGTGGGTGTGTTATCTTTTCAGTTCAAGTTTTGTCTTTTCAGCTATCCAGAGTGGGGAGGTTATTTTTAGTATTTTATGAATGGGATGATCAAAAAACAAAACCATGGACTGAATATACTGCGTCCTGACATGAAGTTGAAATGGGCACTTCATTTCAGACTGAAAAGTGTGTATTTTTATTCTTATATAGCATAAAAGAAGCCTGCATCATCTTGAATCTAAATGTTGGCTCTGCCCTACTTTTGAAAGATGCACTACATTCAGCCTCAGAAAATGGAACCATCTTGGATCCAAACCAGCCCTCTGCCACAGCAGTGTTAAATGAACTTGGAGTTTACAAATTAGCTCAACAAGATGTTGAGATTCTACTTAATTTGAGAGCAAACTGGCCTAATACAGGAAAATAAGTGAAGATCTTCTAGGAAAATGGTTAGAATTAAAATATCTGTTCTAGGTTATTTATCTGAATAAAAGTGAAGTAAAGCTATTACATTAGTACACTTTTGTATATTCTTAAAAAAAACCACCAAACCGCTAGTGCGCTTTGTAAAATATTGACTTGATCTAGCCTTATGCCTTAATCATTTATAATTCAGATTATACTTTATACATAACCATTTAAAATCAGTTGAGATACTGAACTAGTTTCTAACATGGTATAATTTAATCAGATCTGTTTATCTAACTGCATATTTTGTAACTACCCCCAACCTAGAGGCATGTAGAGAACAACAAACTCAGATCTAGAGTTGAGATTGTATTTCTTGTTAAATAGTGCTCTGCTTAGTCAATAATGGCTGTAAGATAGTGGTTCTGCTGCAGAAACATTTATGGTTTAGTGAGTAATATGGAGTAAACTCTGTGCATATATCCATGTTCCCTCTGATTTTTCAACCCCTGTGCAGAATGAATTTTGTTATGTGCACCAATATTGAAGTAATGTGCAGATGTTTACCACCAATAGAAACAAAAAAAACCTTAGCTATAATATATATTTTTAAAAAGTTACCATAGGGATAATTACTCTACTTAAGACATGTTAGCATTTTAAAACTCACTAAAGGATTAAATTTATGCATAAGAGAAATGAAAAAGCATGACTTAACACGAAAAGAAAAATGATAGCTTATTCCCCATCAAAATAAATAACTCACTCCTATGAAGGAGCAGCATATTGAAAGGCTGTGTTTAAATTAAAAAATCAGCAGTCAATTAAATTGTCCAAGACAGAAAGCAAGATCAACCACTTGCCCATATTGCCCCAACCGATAAAAATGAAAAGCAGGTTCAGAATCTGTTTATTCAAACAGAACAACAACAGAGCTATTGCATTCAATAATAAATGCTAAAAGCTCCTGTCATGGCTCCTTCCCCATTCTGGCATGATAAATGCAGAAATGGGGGCCAGCAAGTGTACCCCAAAGCCTGATCTACCAGGCTTTGGTATAAAACTTCCCCCAAAATCTTAAAAACCTAGATCTTGGGAATAAAACTTCCGCTGCCACCACCCAAATGTTGATAAAGAAATCAGGGGAGATCATTTGGGAAATCTTGCCCCTAAAATAAAAATCAGGGCACACAATTAACCACTGCCAGGTTAATAAAAAGAAAAGAAAACTTTTATTATTACAACAATATTCCTGTTGATGGCATAATGACTAAATAGGAAGGTAACAAAATATACTCATGGAGAAACTCCATGGGCCTAGAACTTAGTTACAAAGAAAAGCCAAAACATCTTTAAACAGTGCCAGATCTCAGATCCCATACCCAACCCTTAAAACAATAAAGCCTAACGAAACTACCTAAACCTTACCCTACTTACAGAAAACGAAGAATGGTGTCTTGGAGAGAGAGACATGCTTGTCCCTCTCTGTAGCTGCAGAGGACACACTCCGAGAGACAAAAGGGAGAAAAAAAGAAAAAAACCCAAATTCCTTTGCCCCAGTTTGAAAAGTCCCACCTACATTCCTATTGGTCACTCCACCTGGCTAGGTGTAGTTAACCCCTTAATCCTCAGGCTGCTGGCTAACCCTCATAATCATGACAGCTCCTAAATCCAAAGTTAGGATCTACAAATGTGAAGCCACATTTGAAAAACGGGGAATTCTGTAACATAACTGGATGGGAAAGTATAAACAAATACCATCCCCCTTATTTTTTTGTAGTTTGCCATTGAAAATTAAGTGAAGTTGTGTTTGAAAGAAATTCTGTGTAGCAGGATTTTGTGTCTTTATGTTAGAAACTAAGGAAAAGTTTATTTTAGTTCAATTTAAAAACAGTAAAACATTTTTAAAAAGGAACATAAACATTTAGTTAGTCCACTGACCAATGACTGAACTGTCAAAGAAACTGCATTAGTCCACTGACCAATGATTGAACTGTCAAAGAAACTGCATTTACTGTACATATGCTAAAATTTCTTTAGACAGCACCAGATTGGGGGGAAGGGGGAGAGAGAAAAAAAGGCTATTAACTAGGTAGAGGGACTCATATACACGTATCACACACATGGGCATTAGATACTTAGATGTGTGTGCAGGGAGTATGGAATGAGGTGAAAGCATGTGTTCATGTTCTATTTTATCTGATCATGCTATCTTCTAAATCTAAATTGTGTTATGGAAACTTTAGAGTTGTCTTTTTTGACTGTCCAAATCCTCTTAAAAATGTTCTGAACAACTGTGATTAGCTAATTTGTTTACAAAATGCCATCACAACGGATACAATTGTTTATTTCAAATGGCTTATGTTTGGAAATCATAGTTTTGTTGGATTTCAAGCATCTTCTCAAGGTTGCTTATCGTTCCCCTTCCCTCAGGAATCTTAAAGAAATATCTAACTTTAAAATAAAATTTCAATGCTATAATGGCTGCTTTTATTGCATGCTAGAACATTTTGTAGAGAAATAGTTTTATAGTTGAACTAACAAGTGTACTGCCTTGAGCTTCATGGAATAAGTCATTTTATCACTTTTGCCCCCAAAACATTCTTAACAGGGAAGATGTAGCTACACAGCATCTTTTTAATGTTACACTTATTTTAACTTTTTTTTTGGTAAAGGAAGTCCTCTAAAGATGTTCCTCAGGTGTTTCTCATTATTTAAACTCGCACCAAATAATTCAACTTTTTACATACAATGATGACACTAGTCAGTTTATTTTTAGAGAAGTGAAACTAATTGCCTTGGGCAACTGGTAATGTTTTTTATTTTAGTAGACAGCTGCTTAAGATTGATATATTGCCCAGCTTTCCTGCAACAACTTCTTCCTATAGAAGAAAAGAAATCTCGTTAAGTGATTTGTGAACATACCAGAAACATTTTAGTCATTACACATGAGATTTCAATATAGAAGTGTCTTCAGTACATAGTGTTATCCCTTCCCAAGCCACTATAGTTATTCTTCATCATATGTGGGGAGTAAATATGGATGTGAATGTTGTACTTAATTTACCCAGTTTTCATTTAAAATAGCCTACTTTTCCAATTCTGTATTCCCCTCACAAATGAGATTGCAGTTACTCATGTAAAATGAATTAATTTGAGGATTTTTTGGTATGTTCTTCCCTGGCCACATGTGCGGAACTTGTACAGGCTCAAAACAGGCATTAGATTCCCACAAAGCTATCCAGGCTGCCTTGCTTACCAGTCCACCCATATAACGTCTCCTGATCCCTGCCTGTAAACTGGACTCCAGCTTTGGTATCATAATTTCCTGTGTCCTAAATCTGTGGAATCTCAAAACTTGTCTTTGTAGAGAAAGAGAGCAAGAGGCACTTATAGGCAGGTTCTACTTGAGAGATGGTGAAACAAAATGTTGGTCATGTAAATGCACCAAAAGTTCTGTGCAGAAATGCTCAGTTTGGAAATATTCCAATTTGCATAACTTGATATGATGTTCTCCAATTTAAAATATGACTGTGCCAGCCATTGTTACTACTGCAGTTATATAATTGCAACAAATCTTATACAAAATGTGACTCACGGCCAGAAAAGAGTTAAGCAGCTCGCAGGCCTTATGACCCAAATTCAACCTTTAGGCCAGCAATGGACAACCTAAGTCAGTGAGTGGGCCGCAAAATAGTTGTAAACAAGATGGACTCTCAGGATAGGGAATTTTGCTAACTGCACTTGTGTACCTATAAATTGCGGCATGTGCCAATTGAATCGTAGCAGCACTTTGGATGCAGAGGGAACGCATGGCTCTCAACCTTGTATGGCTTTGCTTAATGTCCAGGATACGTGAATACAAAAAAACGGAAACCAGTGGAATCTGTCAACCCTGTGCACTAGCACTGGTAAACAAAATGTCTTGTGGGCCACACACACAACCGTGATAGGCTGTAGGTTGTTCACCAGTGCATTAAGGGCATACTGGTAGGTAACGTTTGTATTTGCATGTGTTTATATGTATATTGTTAGAGGTTAGCAATGTAACCGAAGAGTTCCTGTCTATACTATATTACTCTCTTGTAAGCATATAACAAATTACCTGAGTGATGGAAAACAGGCAATTGTCTTATATAATACTGAGGCTTTATGTACCTGTATGGATTGAGTAAAACATCTCCTACAGTTCATTATAACTGAAAAGTTTATCACTTCAGAGAAACACAGATGTTCTTGTGCATTGGAGATTACCAGTATTACTCTGTATCCCCAGAATCTTCAGACAAGCTGCAGATATTTATTCTGATCTATTCCCTGAAATACTCATTTCTAGTATTTGGGATATTTTCTTAAATCGCATCATCAACTGGTAAAAAATTTTAATGCAAATGTCATTTCCACATATAGCTATCAAGGAGACTGTTTTCAGAGATGACAAGAAAATCACTACAGTCAGTACAAATGAATTGTGTCAACAATAGCAAAATATCTGACTTAGTCATGGAAATACAATCCCTTTCAGAAGTTGTGGCAAACTTTTTTTGCTTAATGCTCTCCTGATACTCCACCAATAAGAACATAAGCTTTTCTTCAATCTGTCTATAACTACTTGTTTGTTTTGACCCACCTCACAAGGAAAAGTTAAACTTAATCCAATCACTTAGTTTATATTTGACTTTATGGTGATATTTTTTATTAACATAAAGAGAGTGAATTTTAAGGTGGCACGTGCCTGACATTCAAACTGAATTTGAGCAGCTGTAACTATTGAGTACTTTGTAGATTTAAGACCTGATTCTAAAAAAAATCATGCTTTTTCATATTACTTTAACTGAGCTTAATACAATAATTTATGCAACTACAATTGGCTACAAATCTTTAATCTTCTCTATATGAAATGAAAGGGTACAAGTATCACTTTACTTACACTTCTTTCTTGAATATTTCCAATGTGATAGTTGTATCTTCACAAGGCAAATTCTGAGTAGTTAGCCCCAAGGTTTGAAGAGCTACAAAGGTTTTTTGAGAGAGAGAATCCTTTTAAACCTTGAGATCCAAACCCACAGGCTAATTTTACATCCAAAATGTACCGACTGTTTTTTTTCCCCCCTAAGTCACAAAGATCTAGCAGCTAAACAAAATGTAACTTTTTACACTTGCCAACTCTAATGTACATTTTTGTAGACTTTATTGGTCAAATATTGTGTAAAAGATCGGGGCTGTGTATTTTTTTTGCTAAAGAAACCCGATCATTTTGCAATAAGTAAACTTTTCTACTGATACTAAATTCTGATATTTTGAGAATTTCTTTAATTAAACTCATGTTCTTTTGAGCAACAAACTTGCATATTAGATCTGAAATGCTCTGTGCTATATTAATGTTATCATCTGTAAGTAAACACAAAATCCATCTTAATTAAAACTTCTGAACAAGGAAGACAAACCTCCTTTATACTGTACTAAAGTTATGTAGCCTTGACTTGTAACATCCAGCATTTCAAACATAGATTCCAAATTTGATTCATCCACAAGGTAAGGATATTCCGCATCAGTTAGTTTTGCAAGCTTCGCTCTTTCCAGTGCATTTATCAAAAACTCTCTTGGTCTTTCTGGAAAAAAAATTAACAAAGCTATGATGGTATATATTTTTAAACTAGGCTTACTAATTCTTATCATGAATGCAAAAACCGTGTACTGTAGGATTTATTCTGACTTTATTTATACTGTACCAGCAGTGTAACTTGTCTGAAAATACACTAGAGTAAAATAAATTCTAATATCCAAGGCTCATTTGAACAATTGTTGTGTGCATGTTAGTTGCCTCATTTGATTATAGATCCTGATTTTAATGCATTACAGGTTGAACCTCTGTAATCTGGGACTCCCTGGTCCAGCAACATCCATTGTTTGGCAGGACCCCAGATGCTCCAGGACCAGAGAGTCCCGGTGGATGGCTGCCAGCTGGGCTCCCCATTGCTGGGTTGCCTGGTACACCACAACTGGGCAGCCAGGCACAATCCAGCAGAGCTGCCCGTGGGGCCAGGAGCTCAGCACCCAGGAAGCTGGGCTGCCGAGGGAGGTGGGGGGACTGGTAGGGCAGTGAGGCTGGTGGCAAGGGGAGATGGCCACGAGGCTGGTCCAGGGCTGGGGGGAACTGGTAGCAGGGAAGCCAGATATGACCTACCCTGGTCCAGCAAAAATCCCACATTCAGGTCCTGATGGTGCCGGACCAGAAAGGTCCAATCTGTACTTCGTAAAATATCTGAATGAAATCCTCACCCTGGTGAAGTCTATGGCAAAAAACTCCCGTTGACTTCGGAACGGCCAAAATTTCACCATTTGAGTGTAAAATGGAAATAGTGATTTATAAAACACTTATGTAATCTAATAGTTGGCTATAACCTATATTAGCCATATATTTCTAATACAGTAGAGTCCCTATCATCCGACCTAAACGGGACCGACACATGGTCGGATTACCGAATATGTTGGATGATACGGACTCTACTGCAGAGAGCAATGGAACAGCTGATGCCGCTCCTGCAGGGGACATCCCCCACAGGAGTGGCATCAGTTGTTCCCTTGCTCTTTAGGAGCAGCTGCTGCGGCTTCCGCTCAGCAGCTGCTCCTAGAGAGCAACAAGGCGGCAAGCGGGGCCATTCTCCTGGCCCATGCTGTATCGGACCCTGCAGCTCCCAGGGACAAAGTCCCCGGGAGCTGCAGGGTCGGATAAAGCGGGGTGTCGGATTATCAGGTGTCGGTTAATCCAGACTCCACTGTACAGGTGACCCCCCCCCGGGGAAGCATTGCAAATCAGGGGCATTGTAATTCAAACCCTCGTTGATGATAGGCACCGTGAACCATCGTAAATATGGGCCGAGGGTGTACGTCGGGGGTTTTCAGCCCCTTCCACACTTACAACTATTTTTTAAAGTTGGGGGAGAGGGGAGTGGAGGTTGCAACTCAGGGGTTTCTTGTACTATAGACATTTGTATCTTGTATATACAATAGCAAAAACTGAAATAATATATTTTTCCAAAATCGGTCACTTAAGTAACTGAAAGCAAGCTTCAGAATTAATACACATATGCTGACTATTCTATAGAACCTGGCAGAGGCATTGAGGGGAAACTGCTAGCTTATTATCACGGCCCTGAGTATACTATATGATATATTACATCTAAGTTATGACAAGGGCAGGTTCTTGTAATTATTTAGCAGTGCTGCACTGAATTCTGCAGCAAAATGATTTTGAGCCCTTAACCTTCTGTTTTAATGAAGTAATTCTAAAAAAAAATTGAAATGTGAAAATGTATCACTAATGCCTGCAATAAAATTTGAGACACATCAGATTCTTGCAGAACAAATATTCCAGAGGTATAATGATCTGTGGAAAAATTATAACATACTTTAAAAAACTCTTAATTAAATGATTTCTAAAATTGCCCATTGATGTTTCTTGTTAAATTTACAGCTAAGGTAATTTAAGGTAATGGCTATAAAAAATAATACAATTAAAAAATCATTTACTATATATTAATAAAAGTTGTATGGAACCTTAAGTGTGCTAATGATATGGCTCTACTTCATATCACTTGTGACAGACAGTACATAAGCTATATGGCCCTACATGCTGCTACTCCCTACCACAACCCTCCATCTGCATGTAGCTACAGGCACCGGAGGAAGTCTCTGGAGGGGAGGCAGCAAGGTAAGGCTTCAGCTCCGTATTTTGACTTTCAGTTTAGAGCGACTGTACAAATATTATTCAGCCTTTGCAGGGCCGTCCTTAGGCATAGGCAGAATAGGCAGTTGCGTAGGGCACCACTCTGCCGGTCGGGAAGCAGTGCAAAAAGCTGGCACTCCCCTACCCCCTCTGAAAGAGAAAGTGCCAGTTAGCCAGCTGCTTAAAGAAGCAGTAGACTTGTTTCCCATTCCTCCCAGGTGATGCAGAGGCAGGGGCAGAGGGAACAGTTGCTCCCAGCCCACAGCGGGGAGGGAAGTACTTCCCCTCCCCACAGGAGCCGGTGCGAGCTGCCTGAACAGTTTGGGCTGTGGCACTTGGCAACTTAGTTGCAGGGCCTTTCTGCGCAGTGTGGGGAGGTCAGGAGACCCGAGTCTGTGCAGCTCCAACTGTGCAGGCAGCACACTGTGCCCTGGGACTCATCTCACCCTCCCACTCCCCTCCACAAGACGGCATCACAGAAGTAAGTTTCCTGCTGCTTATGCAGCACGCACACCAGCTGTTTGGGGAGGGGGAGTGCAGTTGCACACTTCCCGGAGGCGCTGCAGGACTGTCAGGTACTGGTCCCAGCTGCCCGTCCCCTACCCAAAGTCACCTGTCCTCTGCTCCTACCAATACTGTTACCAGCACCACCCTGTCCCCGTCCCTAGCACCCTGCCACCCACTGCCACACCCAGCACCACCCTGTCCCTGGTGCCAGTATCCTTCGGATCACATTAGTGAGGCTTGAGTGTGGTGTGTTTGTGTTGTGTGGGTTTTTTTTCCATTTTTGTTTTTTGGGGGGGGAGGGCGCATCTCACTTATGTGGCCCCAACTGACTCTTCTGTGGGTCAGTGATCCTTGACTCAAAACAGGTTCCCTGTCCCCCTCATATATAAAGACAATGCAAAAACATTTTGGCTGCATCTAGACTGGCAAGTTTTTCCGCAAAAGCAGCTGCTTTTGCAGAAAAACTTGCCAGCTGTCTACACTGGCCACTTGAATTTGTGCAAGAACACTGACGATATAATGTATGATCGTCAGTGTTCTTGCACAAATACAATGACTCTCCTGCTTGGGAAAATGCTCTCTTGCGCAAATGCTTGTGCGCAAGAGGGCCAGTGTAGACAACTGAGAACCGTAGACAACTGAGAACCCGATGGCAAAAATGGCGACTGGGGCTTTCTTGTGCAAAACCATGTCTAGATTGGCACAGATGCTTTTCCACAAAAAGTGCTTTTGTGGAAAAGCATCCGTGCCAATCTAGACGCTCTTTTCTGCACATGCTTTTAATGGAAAAACTTTTTGCGGGAAAAATTTGCGGAAAATCATGCTAGTCTAGATGCAGCCTTTGAGTTTAACATAGTTGATTTAAAAATGAAGCCTGGCCAACATGCCCCCAATTAGGGCCACCTCACTGCAGCATCATAACACTCCTGTACAACCTGACCCCAAATCTGAGCCTATCATACACTAGAAACCCCTGTCCTGAGCCTCTTACAACCCCAAACTCCTGCATCCCCACATCCTCAGTCTTCTGCCAACATTCCTGCACCATCCACACATGGCAAAGTGTGGCCTGAGCCCATCATACTCACAACCTCCTTGCCCTGAGCCCCTCACATATCCACCACAAACTCCTGCACTGTCACATCCACAAGCCTGTGACTTGCTCAGCACCCTAACCTTCCACCTGAGCCTAATGCTCCCCAGCATGGAGACCCCCCCTCGGAGCCAACATCCCCTTCTCCTGCATCCAAATTCTCTCCCAGAGCTTGCACTTCTCACTCCTTCCCATACCCAAATCCCTCATTCCCACCCCAGAGCCTACACCTTCTCTCTCAACCAAGTGAGTGCATATAATGGCTGGGGATAGCAAGTGATGGAGAGGAGGGGATCAGAGAGGATGGGGCCTCAATGAGGTGGGGTGTTGGGGAAGGAATGTGATTTTAATGTATCGGGGGGTTTTTTTTTTGCTCAACAAACCTAGGGGTTCCTTGAAAAGGGTTCCATGGCCAAATAATCAGAGAGGATGGGGCCTCAATGAGGTGGGGTGTTGGGGAAGGAATGTGATTTTAATGTATCGGGGGGTTTTTTTTTTGCTCAACAAACCTAGGGGTTCCTTGAAAAGGGTTCCATGGCCAAATAAAATTGGGAAACCCTGTAGTGGCATGTAGCAGGAGGGCTGTGTCCTAGAGAGAGCCAAATGTGCTGCCTGCAGCACAGTCTGAGGAAGAGGATTGGCTGCTGGGGGTCTCTGGGAAGGGTAGGGGTGGAAGAGCAAGTCAGGCAGAGGGGCACCAGTTTAATAATCCCCCCTAGGGCACCATAAATCGTAAGGATGGCCCTGAGCCTTTGGGTTGACTATAGTTAAGACACTACACTTGATCTTAACCTTCTGGTGAGATCTTACACCTGAAAGTCCACACACACACACTGCTTTGGATTCACCTTCGAGCCACTGTCCACGTGCGATTAGTTGTCTTAAAATAGGTTCTGGGCCCCACCTAACCATCAAGATCCTTTTTGGGGTAAGTGCTGCACAAATGCATAATAAAAAGACACCGTGCCCCAGAGAGCTCTCTGTTTAGGACAAGCTCCGACACCTGCATTCAGTAGGTCGGGGAGGGAGCTGACGAGGTAATTAGAGCACTTTTACAGTCTCCTAGTCGTGGACAGACGGCAGCGTCCAGCAGGAAGCGGGGAACGCGCTGTACAGATCCTTTTTGGGGTAAGTGCTGCACAAATGCATAATAAAAAGACACCGTGCCCCAGAGAGCTCTCTGTTTAGGACAAGCTCCGACACCTGCATTCAGTAGGTCGGGGAGGGAGCTGACGAGGTAATTAGAGCACTTTTACAGTCTCCTAGTCGTGGACAGACGGCAGCGTCCAGCAGGAAGCGGGGAACGCGCTGTACAGGCTTCTACCCTGCAACGGGGGGCGCCAAGCGAGGCTCTGCTGCCTGCTCCCTCGGCTGCCCGTAACGCCCTTAAGCCACTGTCTGGCGTGGAGCCCGGGGCCCG